AGAAAAAAAATTATAATTCACTTATTCTTTTCTTTTTTCCTCCTTTGATAAATTATATGTTGACAATAAATGAGAAATGAAGTTTAGTTTGAATGCAATTGATCCTTCATATCAGGCATATTACTTGAACATTATTTGGCTTTAACAATCTAGTAAAATGATAATATTTGTTGTGTTTTTTCAATGAATTTATTTGATTATCTTTTAAGTGTGTGCAACTATAGAGGCACCTTATTGATTATTGAATTACATTTTCAATATGTCTGTAGGGATCGTGTTGTATTTTTTTTTTTTAGATGTGTATGTCGTTAGGATGTTTGCTTCAAGAACGTGTTTTTACAGCTGCATAGGTTATTTCTGATTTACATTGTGAGTTCGTGTATGAAGATGGTATTGTTTAAATATGTCTGTAGTAATTGTGTTTTTTCAGAAATTGAAGTAAGTGCTTCTGATTTTCAGATTGTAGGGCTTGTCGATATCCTAGCAGGTGATATGAAATCCTTGATGGATCCAAGTTTGGACGATTTTCCAAAATGTTTACCATTGTCAAAGCTGTATTGCAGCTGCGACATCTTGGTGGAGTACATCTCGGTTTCCTTAAATCTGTGCAAGTGGATTCATGTTATTAAAAATGATTTTCATTTTGTTGGTACCAGGATCCTTTGTCCAGCAATATCGACAGGCCTCTCAACAGTGGTTTAAAACTGAGTTATTGAAATCGTAGAGCGCAATGTTAGTGTCTGGTGCTGGAAGTATGATGGATGCTTCTTTTGCAGCTCTATCAGCCAGTTCCTATATGACTGGGGACCCACAGAAATTTTATAGTTTTCTTTGTTAGTTGAATGATTTGTGTGATTTGAAAGACAATGGGGTTGTTACACAATTTAAATTTTTCTACCTGCTTGAGGGCTGAGTAGGAATCACTAAGAATTAAAATTTGATTACTCTTAATTTCATTGATTATTATACCTAAAGCTAAATGGCAAAGATGGGAAAGAACAACAGAACATCCAACATGTTCTGATCTTTTCGACCCTTCGGTATAGACGCATGTGAACTCTTCGTAGTCTTTATATGAGCTAAGAAGAGTTGTTTTAGTTCTCCTTGTGGGTTAGATAATTTTGTTGCATTTTTTAAATAAAAATCAAAAAGTGCTCTACTGTTTGTCCAAGGAAGTAAAGGGTTTGCAGTCGATTTGAACAGCATTGGTAGTGTGTACGAATTGGTTAGTGGCAGGTAGTTGGCAATGTAAAGTAATGATTATGTTCCTATATAACTTATAAATAATTTTCAAAAACATTTATTTCTTTATTGTTAATATTTCTAATTATTGTATTTAAATTTTAAAGACTATATTGCTTTTTCTTTCTTTAGAAAACTATTGAGTTATTAATTCAAAAACTTGCAATCTCTCTCTCTTGCTATTGAAAAAATTATGTTGTAAGTAAAAGATAAAAGGTATTTTCGCTATTGAATTAAAATATTATTTTTTTTCTTTACATATTTTTAATGAGGTTTCAAATAATTTAGACTCAAGTCAGTGTATAGGAAACATCTTGCAACAAACAAAATTGTATAATTCCTAAACCATTTAATGTAAGGTTTATAGAGTATTTGAGAAAAAAATTGTGTTTTTGGGGATTATTTATAAATAAATAAATAAAATAAAATGTCAATCATCTCATTATGAGAATATACAACATAACACTTAAGCTAGTCTGATTGATTAAAATCTTGTATGCCTTTATAGGTTTTAAATTTTTTCTCAACAAAAGTTTTTTGGCTTAGGTCTTACATTAAAGCATTTACATCAGTAAGAACTTTTTAATGAATTTTCTAATTATATAGAAAATGCGTAAAACAATAATTTTGAAATTTATGGGGAATTATAATTTGTTTTTCAAATTGGATTTTTTTTTCTTTTTCATAACAAACTGAGATGTTGATTGATCAAGTTGATTTAAGTTTTATTTATTTGAATTCTAACCACTATGCTGTTATTTATTTTTTTGTATTTATAATTAATAATTGCACAACCGTTGGCCTTGAAACACTTCCTTACAAAGTACTGAACCCAGGATCCTTTATGGGTTGTAGTTGTACAGGTTGATAATAATATTACTGGGTTTTTTTATTAATTCATAAAAGCAGGTCAGAAAAATATTTTTACCAAGTTTTTATGTCCTAACTCCACACAATGTTGATCCTACTAATAAGTCCCTACCTTATTATTTAACGTTAAATGTCAAATAACAACGTCTGTTACTTTAAGACTGTTTAGTTACATTTGAGGTACACTGCATAAACAGCCTTATTTCATAGTAAAACTTGATATTCATATTTATACATCAGCTTTTTTAAAGCACAAAGGTGTTTGATCATATTTTGAAGTTAAGACAGTACTATTACATGTTGTAATTGTTGTATTTTATACTACCTAATAAAGTGCCTCAAAGGAAATGCTTCATTATCTATAATAAAATTCCAAGCAATAAAAGGCTAAGCATTGCAAGATACAATGCAATTTTTTCTTTATCATAATTTGGAGTATTATTATTATAATATTTTTTTATGGCTAAAAAAGCCTTTTTAACTTGGATAACTAACAAATTTTCAATAAAATTGAGTTTTAATCACTGTAATAGTTAAAATTAAAACTATAGATGGGAATTTGTTTTTAATACTGCCAAATTATTGGATGAATATTAGAGCAACTGTCTTGAATAAATTAAAAAAAAAAATTCTAAACGTTTTAAACTACTCAATTTTTTTCAAAGTTAAACTGAACTCAAAATTTGAGAGGATCTTTCAAGTTTAGATACTTTCAAATTTTGAGTATCAAACTTTGAAAGTACCTGATAATGACCCTAATACATGGAGCTTTGAAAAATAGATTCAGTTGAGATTGATGTGGTGAATACAAAGATGATAAATTAAAGTAAAATAAGAAATAAAATTATTAAGTGATTTAAATTTAAAAATATTTACATAAAAAAAACTTGAATTTGTGTTGGACCATTTACTCATCAAATTGGCAGGATAAGTAGGGAAAGATAAATTTAATCCTAAATATAAATGTTATTATCTCATAAAATTTCGCCATAATTTATGTAAGAAAAATGTCCAAACTATTTCCATCATTAGTGGGGCACCACTTTTTGAAAAATTTATATGATCAAAATGCTACACCAGTAATTTCAATAAGAGTGATATAATATGATGATAACATTGCATAAGTCATTTTTTTTTTTTTTTTTTTATTAGTTGCAACAAATGATTAACTGTGAGTTTAGCAAAGTTTTCTTTTTCTTAGCTCAATATTTTTTTCTAACGGGTTTATTTACAAATCATTTATTTATTGATATAAAAACATGTTTAACAAAACGAATAGGACATTAACTGTTTACATGTCAACATGATTATATTAAGAAATAACCAACAGTTTGAAGTCATAAGAGCTAAAGAGAATCAAAAAATCTATATTATGCAATAATAAATTAATTATAATATGATGGCCACGACTATAATACTGGAACATCAGAAGATGACCGACTGAAAAGGTTGTAGATGTGGGATTTACTTACATAATGTTTTAGTAAATAAAAACCACAAGAGTACCGCGGGATATAGCTTTTGCTCATGCCTTTCAAGCCCCTTTGACACTTTTATTTTATTTTTTCCCATGATTATGCCAGTCCATCTGTTGATTGTCAATAGTTGTAATTTACAGGTGTGGATTTATAAATGAAAGTAAATAAAAAACCAAGAACATTAAAGTGTGTAAATTTATGGTGTTCACAGCATTTTGTTGTAATATGTAAGAAGAAAGGCAACAAATAATTTAATGAAACATTAATTATCAGAAAAATATTGATGTATCTTATGCTAACTGAATGCTTCTATTATTAAAAAAAAAGTTAAATATTAATAAAATAAAATACAGACAGGACGTTCACATGAAATTTTGTGGTCCAGTTTATTCTTTTCTAATCTATTGCAACTTCCATCAACTTAGTAGTAGTTAAATCATGAAAAGAAATAATTTAAAAATTGTTGATTTTACATTGATAAACAAGAGCTTAATTAAAAAAAAGGTTAGTAATTAAGAAAAATTTCTTTTTTTTTTGTTTCATATAAAATAAAAAAGGTTCGAAGTGACAACATAAAGTAAATCGACTATTTAAATAAAATTAGATACCAAAAGTTTATATTCTTTATTCTTTAAAACATGTATTTATTTGACCACTGTTTTTCTTGACATATAGAATTATTTTAATGTAATTATTATTTAAAACAATGTAAATCTTCCAATTATTTTGAAATAGTTAAAATAACGTTGCAAACATTTTACCACAGGAGCAATATTGGCACTAAAAAATGAGCCCTCAATTTTTAACGTATTAAAAATGAATAAGTCAACAAATTTCCTTTATGTCAGTGTAATAAAATTAAATCAATTATTTTAAAGGAACATTTAAATCATAAAATGTTTGTATTAAAGTTATTTTACTTAATCATTATAGAATAATGAAGACATAAAATAGTGATTTTTTTAAACTGTTATTTATAAACTGATGGTATATCTTAAACTATTTTTGAGTTATATATCAAAGAAAACTAGAGTTCTGTTAGTAATAAATAATTTTTTGTATGTATAATTAATTGATAGTCCAGTAAGTGATTAAATAGTCAAACTGATGAACAGGCTATTATTCTTTAAGGCTTATTGTATGTAGTAAAAAATTAATTAGTTTACCATTAAATCTGAATTAATTTATGAACAGTTACCTAATTTATTCATAATTGCAGAGAGCTAAAACAAAGAAATTCATAAACAGTAAATTGAATTTAAGTTGGGTCATTATTCTTATTTCTTTATGCGGAAATAATTACAACTCAGTATTCATAAATACAATACAGCATTCACATTGATAAAAAAATATCAATCTATTTGCATTCAATGGTGTCATACAATCCAAGGATAACAGAAAAAATACTCGAATGTTTTAGGCGCAATTTATTCTTTGAATACAGATTTTCAAATATAATATTCAACTATCCATATAAATGTATTAAAAAATCATTTTACAAAACTATCTTCAAATTTTTTAACAAATATAAATTTATGAAAAATTATAAAAGAAATACCTTATATGTATATATATTATATACATAAATTGCACAACCTTTGGTTCAAATATTCTTGAATGTTGTAAATGTTTGCTTACATTAATGTAAAAAAATAAAATCAAATTTTGAGCAGCAAATCATAAATTATTAATAAAAAATAAATGTTAGGCTTTACTCAAAATGTCTACTTCTTTCCATATTTCCCAATTAAAGTTTTGACTTTTTCGATGTAGCTCTCCTTTGCTGCATCTTGGGCTGTGCCTTTCTTGGCATTCCAAGCCTCCCATTTAGCTTTTCCCTTAAAATCAAACATCCCTGGTTTGGCTGCAATAAATGATAACAAAATAATAACAATTTGTTTATAATTACAACAAATTAAAAAAAAACTCTTAAAGTTCCTTACAAGTATTACAGTCTCCTACAGTCCCTTGTTTGAAAAGTGCATAAATTTCCAATAATTCTTGGTCATCTGGAGTTCCCTGGAGTGCTTTGACATCTTCAGCAGCAGTGTTGAAGTTCTATAAATAGTAACAAAAATTCGAAATTGTTTTATAATACAAATGATTATGACTAATTTAAACATATAATTGGCTCTTACTCACTATAGTTTACATTACATAGTTTCAAGAAGCTATTTTATCATGTTTAGGCTAATATAATTGCTCAATAAGACTTTTCACCATACCTTAATTTTTAAAAATAATCAAATTTACCATAACTGAAATTAAAATATTGAGCCTAAAGTCTTTAATAAATTTAAGTTTATAAATATTTGGAACTAAACACAATTCAATAACAAAATTTTAATTCTTAAAGAACTAACAGCAATTTAATTATAATATACTTAATAAAACAAATTTTCTTCCTATAATTATACTTCTTAATACAGCTTTTCTTAAGAATTATTTGGATTATAAATTTATAATTACAGAAAATGAAACTAGGCACAATTAATACATGAAAATTAAACTTTAAAAACTCACCTCGTCTAAAGACATTTTTGTTTCTTGAATATCTGCAATGTAAATAACACAAAATTAATAAATCTTTGACAGAAGTAATTTAAGTTAAGATATGTTAATAATCTAATCTTGAAATTTATTACTAAGATTAGGTAAAATGCGAGCTAAGATACTATTAAACCTTTCTAAAGGAACTATCAGAAATAACTGTACTTCACAGATGGCTGGTAAAGGTTCTGAACAGTACAATAAACTATATCAAAACAGTATAATGGTACGCCTGACACTATTGATAAAGTACAATAATAGAATTGGGATGAGACCGATATATTGACTTAGCCCAAGGACTAAAAAGAAACCGATAACGGTAAAACTAAATTAACTCACTTGTATGGAAGCCGGCGACTGAATGATATGTCAAAGAGATTAGCGGGAGTGGGATGAAGCACGCATGCGCGGCAGCGCCTTTTGGCTACCGCCAAATTCAAATCAACGTCTCACAGCCACTTCAAGTTATGTAATAGATCATTTTCGCTCTATCATCTTTGTTATAATTAAATTAAATTTTTAAATTATAACAAGTAAAATTTTATTTTCATTTTTAAATCCAATGGCTAGTTTACAATACGTGGTCATTTTTAATGCTCTTTATTTTCTAAATAACCCATATCAAGTTCTAAAAAAAAAAAAAAAAATACACAAAAGAAGTAACATTCTAAAGTTTTTAGTTTTTTTTTCTTAAACAAAGAATTCTAACTTATAAGGGATTTGAAGGATATCTAACAGCAAGTATTCAAATTTAGATATTCCTGGAAAGATATTTTTTGATGAATTATTATAAAAGATTTAACTTAACTGAGTTGTTGAGGAAGTGACAGTAAATTGACGCCTTATTTAGAAATATTAATGAAATTTAGTTTTATTTTGTGATTGGGAACTTTATAAAATATGTAGTATTTCTGTTTTTTAAATGATTATACTTTACTATAACAAATTATATTAATCATCTATCTTACATATTTAGGACCTTGTTTAATAATTATTCAAAGGTTATTAAAAAAAAAAAAAAAGCTTCAGATTTAGGAATTTAAATAATTTTTACTCTGAAACACTTAAAAGATTTACTAGAGATAACCATTGTAGCTATTAATAAATTGTATTGGTTTGATTTTTAGAAAGATAACTATATTTTTGTTCCCAAAATGAACTCAAATTATGCTTAGGTTATTAACAAATGATTAATATATGAGAAAATAATTTTAGAATCAATATTATTTTCCAAAACGAAATACGATTACTTTTTACTAATTCTTTAGTTTATTTAATTTTTTTATATATCTATGAAATTTAAATTTATTTCACACAAACATTATTTATGTTAAGATCATGAAATTATTTTTCATAGAATTTCAAGTTTATGATCACCAAAAATTATCTAAAACAGCTAAAAATATTAAATCAATAAAATTTAACTTTTGTAAGTGATTTATTTTTTATTTTAAATTATTTTCTGGTAAGTATTCTAAATTGTTTAACAAATCTACCAGATATTTTGGCTTATATATATATATACATATTTTTTTTTTTTTTTAACAAGTAAATAAAAAATAAAAAATGGTTTTGTATTACTAGGAATTTTTTCATTGCAAGAATGTAATTATTTTTCACTGTAATATGTTTCAGTTTTTTAACTGTAACTTTATATTAAAAGCTTCAAAATGGCAGAAATATAGCCAAAATGTCATATTATGGGTGTAAAAAGTTTTTATGTATATTAATCTTTAAAAAAATAAAAGGCAAATATGAAGACCATATTGCCAATAATAAAATTTAATCTTCATGAAGTTAACAAATAAATAAAAGGTTCTGTAAATGTTAAGAAATTTTTATTTAATTTAATTAATATAATGAATAATCTTTCCCCTTTTTTTGTTATTTCAGTTTATATATACATTTGTTTTTCATTTTATATATATATATATATATATTTATCAGAGTTGTAAACTTTGACAGTTTTATTTTCACAGAAACAGTTACAAAAAGATCCATTTTTACAATTTCTATGAAACTGTTTAGGAAAAAAGTTTCATTGTAACAGTTTCTGTAAAATTTTTAGGAAAAACAGTTTTTTATAATAAAAGTTCTAAGAAACATTTTTGTAACAAAGTTTATGGTAAAAGTTTAACTTGTATTTATTAAAATTCTTGAAAAAAATTCAGTTAAATGAAAAATAAACAGCAATTGGGCCTAAATTAGCATTATAGTTTGTATTAAAAATGAATTACACATGATTCTAGTGTTGCCGTTTGTTTGAGAAAATATATGTAAAAATCATTTTTGAGATAGACTTTTTGGCGTAATGAAGTTATAATAATCAATGAAAGTTTTTTAACAATAAAAATTCTGTAAAACCTTTACTTAAAAAGGTGCTTGGGAAAAAGTTCTAGTTCCAAAAAAACTGGTAAATTATTGACATTAAAAATCCCATATATATCAAATCTTTTGAAAATAATAATTTTTTTTTCCGTTTCGAGCCCTGATATATATATATTTTTTTTTTTCAATTGGCGGTACAGACCATGGAGACCCTTTGACGGCGAGTGTGGTTTCCTATATCATATCACTTCCCGATTCCCGATTTAAAGTACAGAGTATAGGGTCATCAATCCTATGCCCGGTTGGTGTGAGTTGCCTCCAGTAGTATGACGGGCCTAACATACCTCCGGGAGGGAGAGGGGAGGGAGGAATCTTGGGCAGTTTGGCTTTCCTTGGTGGATGGTCTCCCAAGTGCTAGCCACACTCAGTGTTGCTTAACTTTGATTACCTATTGCAAGCGCCTTAGCCCGCAAGGCTACCCCAGCCCCCATATATATATATATATATATATATATATTTAAACTTAACTATTTAATTGGGAATAAGGTCACTTATTAATTATTCAATAAACTTTATAATAATAAAATATAAGCTTAAGCTCATATATATATATAAGGCTTAATAAATCTGCTGGTGGACCGTCCTGAGACTGTCGGTGTGTCTCTGGCCTGAGGTATCGAAGCTCTATTTTAAAAGTAGGTTAAAATTTTAAAATAATTGTTATTAGAAACATATATATGGAAGCATAAGTGTGTACCGATTGAGCTATTTGTTGTTCTAGCTTTGCAGAGGATCTCGTTATTAACTTTTAAAATAAAAAAAAAAAAATTGTGATCAAAACGTCGAATAAACACAGAAGCAATGAACATTTTGTAGTTTATTGAATAATTAATAAGTGACCTTATTCCCAATTAAATAATTATTATACAATTATTAGTATTATTATCCTAATTATACAAAGTAGGAAGGGTTTGAACCAACATGATTTTATTTTGTTTTTAGCAGTACCGGCAGCTGCAACTTATTAGGGTACTTAACAGTATAAACTATTAATGTCTGCCTGCAGCTTCGAAACTGACCACATTAGTTGCTTGAAAGGATAGGTAAATCTGAACTTCATCTCTGAATGATTGGTATTCAGATTGGATAATCAAATAATTGTAAATGTAGTTTAGAAAAAGGTATTGTGAAAGTAAGGTAACTATGGGACACCTTGGGTAAAAATGAAGTTTGTAAAAATAAACAGAGGTTTGTTAGGAATACAAATTTTTTTGTGAGGATGAAGACAGACATGATACATGATGGTGGAGTGTGTTGAGTTACTGCTCGCTTTAATTCACTTGAGTGTAATGGCACCAGTTCAAGTCCAGCCTGTGCAGATTAAAACTTATTTTGTCGCATATCCACAAAATGAATTTCAACCTTCCTAATCAGGTTATTACAGGTTTGGTTGTTCCTGTTTCTGCTCTTCCCTCCCTATCCCCCGAATGGCAGAAATGCCGAGGTATGTGGCAAACAAAAAAAAAGAAGATATAAGAGCAACCTTATTGGAACATTTATTATTAGTAGTAAATGTTTTGCAATAACGTTATCATTAAATTATTTAAAAAACTAAGTAAAATACCCCTTTTCTGGGCGCCTTAAATGGGGCAGATTATTCCTAAACTCCTCCTTAGGTACGCCATTGAATAGAATAAAAATTATAGATTGCAAGAAATAATATATAATGTTTGTTTTATAAAAAGAAGGTTTTTTTATTACTTCTAAAAAAATCTAAAAATATATTAAACCAATTTTGAAACCATTGTATGCTGGTCATTTTAAAGTGTCGTCAGTCAATGCAAATTAAAATCTCTTATACAAAATTTTCAGTATAAGGCTTTTAGTAAAATTAAAGTAATTTTTTTAAAATATGAAAATTGAGTAAAATGTTTTTTTTTTTAAATATTAAGATACAAAATTCTATGTACAATGTAAACACATTGGAAATTTACTTGCAAAAAACTACCAATTGACCACTATATAAACTTTTTCTTCAAAAAAGTTAATATGAAGTACACACTAACACAAATTCTGATAATACAACTCTAAGGATTTTTGAAGAATATCATTAAAATTCAAAAGAATTACTAAAATATTTTGAAAGATTTTTAAACATTTACTTAGACTTATCTGAATGAATTGTCTTCAAAGTGTTCATGGATTTTATCATATGATTGATTTGAGTTAATCAAACTCAAAATCAATGTATAATAAAGGCAGCTGTTTTAGCTGCAAATGCTTTCTCTGTGGTATGACTAGGAGTCTTGCAATTAATTTAAGGTTTAATATAATTATTTCACATTTTATAATTATATTGTAAACTGTAAAAATCAAAATTATAATGAATATATTGTCAATTAAATAAAAATAATTTAAAATTTAGTTTGACTATATACATTACCAAACTTAAGTTTTTACAAAAGTAGGGTGTCTTTAGTCTAGTTGGATTGTTATGGAAAAAAAAACATGAATGATTCACGATTTTAGTGTGGTTTATTTGCTCAAAAGCCATCTTTAAATTATTTTTAACAATGACAAACTCTACTTTCAATTCAAGGAAATTTTATCTAGTTTACTGTGAAGGAATTGTGAATTACTTCAATCAAATATTTTTTAGTCATTCCTTTCTATTCAAAACTTATTTTAAAAAATCTCAAAACTTTAATTCCATGTCTTTTGGGGAAAATTAAACTGTGGTTTAAATACAAATTTTTGTACCTCTGAAGGTCTACTATCAACCTTTTAAATATTTCTCTTTATTTTTGGAAACTCTATATAAATCAGGATATGTTCCTTTTAGATACATATGTGTTTAGATATTAAATCTATAACACTTTTTTGTACCATCACATTTTTTATAGAATTATTATTACCTTTCATTACATTATCAGTACCTTTAAGCTTTACACATGTTTCTCCGGCAAATAGATATTTTATACAGGCCCAGACTGACATAAACTGAACCAGACTGAGCTGAAGTCGACTGATAACCA